TTGCAGATGATATTTGGATTACACATCTAATTATACTGTCTATGTTTATTGATTAGCTTGCATGCCCCTTGTTATTTCGTCCTCACAACAACCTTACAAATCATTTTTGTTTTTGAATAGGCAATAGCCAATTAATTGCTGTGGGTGGACGGGTGCACTTGGCCACCACTTTTTCCTGTTTAAAATGCCTTAGTAGTATTGATTACATTTTCATTGTACCCATCTTCTGAAAAGCTCAGGGTGGAAGAGAGAGTCCCCTCCATTCCCACAACAACCTTGAAAGGTAGGTTAGGCTTGATGGCTGGACTGGTCAATGGCACCCAGTGAATCTGATGGCTGAGCAAGGATTTGACTCAGGCCTAAGTCCACCATTCTGCCCGCTTCGCTGCAGTCACTGTCGCTATAGTTGGAGTGGACTATGCAATGGCTAAAACCTTTGGAAACAAGGTTAATGGACAAGAAAGCCACACTCAAGGCCACGAGCCATGGGGTGGGCTACTAAGGAGGGATGACTGACACCAAGGGTTCAATGAAGGCAGCTTCATTAAGGACCCCCCCCCCCAGTTAGAACTAAGCATAATCATATGTGTGGAAAGCTGTGCAAACCCATGAACCTATCACTATATAGGAAGCCTGGTACTGTGCAACAGTTGGCACAATGAGTGGGGGAGTGGAAAGCAATCCAACGCAACATGAATGCGGGCAGAGCCAGCCTGAGCATTTGGGAGAGCGAGGGGGCAGCCTGGGGTCTCGTGGAAAAACAAATGCTTTGCTATTTGTTCTGCTTTGACATGTTTTTAAATCTAGCAAGAGGCAGTGGGGTTCTGCCTATGGGATTTTCTGCTTTCAGTGCAAACATTGGGAATATGTACTCTGACTTAGCAGCAGGATGCCTTAGGTGAGTCCTGATTATGATCATCTTATTTTTAAGATTTCATTTTTTTTACCACCCAATAACCAGAAAAGCTCTCTAGGCAGTTTGCAAAATTAAAACATGGAAACAAAAACGAAAGTAACAATGTCACAATAAAAACAACGACAATAGCCGATTAGGATGATGTCTTTCTGACAAGATTTTATTTTCTCATTTCCTGCTCATGAGGTGTACGAGTAAGGGGTGACTTGCAGTAGCTTGGGTTTTAAGTATGCTGGCAGGGTAAAATGCAGCTTTGGTGCTTTTAAAAGATGTTTTATAGAGATTGGTACTATCTTTATTCCGTGCCACTCTTTTGGTTAGCAACCAGAATCTAGAAATGGCACAATCGGTATCTAGGATGATTCTTATACCAAGGTCAGAAGGTCTGGAAAAACCAGGAAACAAGTAGGGATTTTTTTTTCTTCCAAGAACCATTTTTTTTTCTGAAAAATTAGAAAAAGTGGACAGATTTAGATTATGATGCATTCTCTTCTAACATTTCAGGACACAATGCAATGAGGGTGCCTAGAACCCTCTGGTTCCAGCTTTCTAACTGTGGTGTTTCAGAGCAGGAGGGAAGGAAACGACATACATCACGTCTCGGCAGAACCAGTCCCTCTTCTTTCTGTGACCTTGGAGAAGTGGCGAGAGAGGCTCTTTTCCCCAGGCAGCAAGGGCAGCAGATAATCCTCCAAGTGCAGAGTCCCAGGTCTGATGGCAAAACGGTTCTCCAAAAATTCTCCTCTGAGCAGTGAAAGAAGGAATGAAGTGATATGAGCAAAATTTAAGGTAAGTCTCTAAACAAAGGAATGCTAAACAAAAATATGAAGGGAGAACATTCAAAAGCTCAGTTTTACTCAGCACTGGCTAGGCTGGACTCATTTGGAGTCCTGTGTCCAGCTCTGGGCACCAAAGTTTAAGAAACATAGAAACAGAGCAAGTCAGAAGGGTCCTCCTGGGTCATCTAGTCTGACCCCTGGCTCCACTCATGACATTCCTACCATGTGTGTGTCCAACCTATCCTTGAACACCCTCACTGATGGGGCTTCAACCATCTCCTGTGGAAGCCCATTCCATACTCTAGGGGTCCTAACTGTCAAGAAGTACTTCCTGGCATCCAAACTGAACCTTGGTTTCCTGAGCTTGGCTCCTTTGGAACACATCCTGCCTTCCTCTGTAGGGGAGAAGAGGTCTAGACCCACCTTTGTGTGACACCCCCTCACGTACCTCTATGTCGCCAACAGATCCCCTCGGAGTCTCCTCTTCTCCAGGCTGAAGAGACCCAGTTCCCTCAGTCTCTCCTCATATGGCTTTCCCTGCAAAACAACCTTGTGGCCCTACGCTGCACTGACTCTAACCTGCCTATATCCTTCCTGTAATAAGGGGCTCAAAACTGAACACAATACTCCAGTTGCAGGCACGCCAGGGTCGTATAGAGTGGTAGTAATACCTCTCTTGATCTAGAAGCCACACTTCTGGCTATGCAACCAGAGGTGGTGTCACACTGCTGACTCATGTTTAGCCTGCAGTCAACCAGCACCCCGAGGTCCCTTTCACAAGTGCTGCTCTCCAGCCACTTGTCACCTAACCTGCCCTCTTGACCACTGCGTCACACTGCTGGCTCATATCTAGCCTGCAGTTGACCCGAGATCCCTTCCACAAGTGCTGCTCTTCAACCACTTGTCCCCTAACCTGTACTTATGATGCCCATTCCTAATCCCCAAGTGCAAGACCTTGCACTTATCCACACTGAATGCCATCCTGTTGTCCCCTGCCCTCTTCCATAGTCTGTCTGGATCCTTCTGGATCTGGAGTACCTGCTTCTCAGTTGTGGCCACTGCCCCCATTATAGAATCATCTGCAAATTTGATCAGCAGCAGACTGGGCACCCACTCTTCCAAGTCATTGATGAGACTATTGAACAGGCTCGGTCTCAGGACAGAGCCCTGAGGGACCTTGCTCACCACTGGCCACCATCCCGATGATTCCTTGCCAATAGTTTACCCTCTGCTTTCAGTCAACCATGCCCTAATCTGTCGGACAGTGCATTGGTCTATCCCAGAACTCCTCAATTTCTCAACCAGGTTATCATGTGGCACTTTGTCAAAGGCCTTATTGAAATCCATAAGAATGTATAAGAAAGACGCAGACAAGCTGGAAAGGGTTCATAGGAGGCCAACAAGGATGATCCGCGGAGTGGAAACAAAGGAGAGATTGAAAGAAGTGGGCATGTTTCGCTTTGAGAAGAGAAGACTGAGGGAAGATTTGGTACACTCAACAAGTACTTGAAAGGCTGCCACACAGAGGAAGGACAGGATCTCTTCTTGGTCATCCCAGAGTGCAGGACATGGAATAATGCACTCAAGTTACAAGAAGCCAGGCAGGGCCGTCTTAACGCATGGGCCTGATGGGCACTTGCCCGTGGGCCCCATACCAATCTGTGTATATTAACCCTCGGAAAATTGGAAAACTTCCAAAATTAACAGTAGTTGTAGTTGTCGCAGGGGCCCCAGTACACTGCTTTGCCCGGGGCCCATAATGCTGTTAAGACGGCCCTGAAGCCAGCTTCGGGCTACATATCAGGAAGTTTCCTGACTGTTAGAGCAGTATGAGAATGGAACCCATGGCCTGGGGAGGCTGTGGGAGGCACTCAAGATGCAACTGGACAGCCACTTGAGAGGGAAGGCTTAACTTGGGTCCTGCACTAAGGGGTTGGACCCAAGGGCCTCCTGGCCCCTTCCAGCTCTACTATTCTATGTGTCTACCTAGCAGTAAAGATAGGGTCTCCCAGGAGAGGCCTGCCCGCTGCTATGGGCTGGGAGGCAGTGGCAGGCCACAATACATCACTCCCTGGCCTCCCTCATGCTCTTCTCTACTTGGTGCCTTTTGTTTGCACCCCCCTCTGTGGTCTCCCTGCTCCCTTTGTCCTCCCAAAGCTTCCACTCTCTCTCAGTTTCATGCCACAAAAAGCTTCTTCACAAAAAGCCTTTAGATCCATAAAAATTCTCACTACAGGCATCCTGCAGGGGAGGAGTTAAAGCTGCCCACGCTAGGATCCCAGTCTGTGCAGTAACATGTAATCTGCTGTTGTGAAGTCCCATTCGGTAAGGGAAGGAGCAGGCACTGCACCTGGCATCCATTGGTTTCTCTTTTCAAGACAGAATCCCTCAGATCAGTGGAGTACTGGCAAATGCCAGCAGTTCTCTAGCTTCAGAATGGAAACTGAGCATGCACACCATGGATGTATAAGCTCTTGGCTCTAATGCTATTAATCAGAATGACAGTTGTTCACTCAGATAATATTTCATCATTCTGTGTATTATTTGTTCCTTGTAAAACATAAAATATCCCCCCAAAACTAACTTTCACAAACTCCAATTAAAATCTGTTGAACATGAAGTGCAGGATTTTTATTTTTTGTTTGGTATAAAATTAGACTTTATTTCCTGTATTTCACTCCAAAATTTCCCTGAACCCCTTTATCGCAGAGGTATTCCATCCACCTCCAGCCTCCAGGAATCAGGCATATTCAGGGCAGTGAGGGTGGCAAAAAAAGCATCTCACTTCTTCTATCCAGCCTTCTGTTTGCTGCCTAGCAGAGCTCTTGTGGACATCCAAGGCCTATTACTCGCTGTCCCCAAGGACATCTTAAGCCCATTTGAGGCCTGCCATAATATATTTGATAGGCACCGCCAGGAAAAAAAATCTCTTTTATCCACCAGGACTTAGGCTCTAATTTTGCAGCATTTGAATCTGGTGAGGTTTCCAGATCACAGTTTGGTCTAGTTTCCTTGAGTGAGCTTTAATTGGTTCAGTTTGAGGATGCTGGCAAAGTGCTTGGACATGCGACCATGTCTATACTGGATCCATGCCCCTCTTGGTTTCTTAAAGCTAGTTGGACAGGCTGGGGAAGGGATCAATGCCTCTTTATGAGAGGGAGAGGTCTCTACTCTCTAATCCTATGTTTGGAGCCTAAATTGTAGGTGCAGAATGAGGAGCAAAATGTCTAGGGCTGATTAACACAGGGTCCACAGAAACAACCGCAATGTAAAATACTTTTATCTTTTATCTAGTGGTGCAAGAGATGTACCTGGAACTCACAAACCAGACCACCCAACCTGCCACCTATGAATTCGTCTTCCAGGCTTTCTCCACCATTCCTGAGATGCAGCATCTCCTGTTCCTATTCTTCCTTCTGCTCTATCTCACAATCCTCTTTGGAAATGTCACCATCATTTGGGTTGTCTGCACTGACCACACACTGCACATCCCCATGTACTTCTTCCTGGGCAACCTCTCTTTTCTCGAGATTTGCTACACCACAGTAGTAGTACCTCAGATGCTGGCCAGCACTTTAGATATTCATAGAACGATTCCCTTGGCAAACTGTGGGACTCAGATGTTCTTCTTTGTGGCGCTAGGCAGCACTGACTGTTTCCTATTGGCTGTCATGGCTTATGACCGTTATGTAGCCATCTGTCACCCCCTTCGCTACACCCTCATCATGACTTGGCAGGGCTGCATGCGGCTGGTTGTTGGTTCCCTGCTTCTTGGCCTTGTGCTGTCACTGGAGCTGACGGTGCCGATCTTCACCTTGCCTTTCTGTGGTCACCAGCCCCAGATCAACCATTTCCTTTGCGACGTGCCCCCTGTGTTGCGTCTGGCTTGTGCTGACACCCATCTCCACCAGACGGTGCTTTTCAGCGTCGGGGTCATGGTCCTGACCATTCCCTTCCTTCTGATATGCACCTCCTACGTCTACATTGTGGCCGCCATCCTGCGGATCCGCTCCACGTCTGGGCGCCACCAGGCCTTCTCCACCTGCTCCTCCCACTTGACGATTGTGACCCTACAGTACGGCTGCTGCAGTCTTGTCTACCTGCGGCCCAAGTCAAGTTCTTCAGAGGACGAGGACCGGCAAATCGCTCTTATATACGCCTTTGTCACTCCACTGCTGAATCCGCTCATCTACAGCCTGCGGAACAAGGATGTCAAGCAGGCCCTCAAGAAGGCCTTGAGGAGGACGGCTGAACCTCAGGCCTCCTTTCCAAATTAATTTATGGCATGATGAAGAAGGTACACTCTCGGTATAATTTTCATATGGGAAAACCTTCCCTCTCCACTATCCCACCATCACCTTCTGCCATGACTAAGAAAAGGGACCAGGGCAGGGGTATCAAATTTGGGTCTGTATCCCTTCTCAGTGACTCCCCAGGAGCAGTTACTGATGCTCATTTATCTACTTTATTCAAGGTAAAATTGGTTGGTCCTCATCATTCTTCCTGCTCACCCACCATGGTGCATCCAGGGAGCTTCCACACATCTTGCTCTTGCTCCCCAGTCACTGGGTGGACTCACACTCACACAAAACACAACATGCCTTTTTTTACCATTGTTGGTCTGCTGTATCATCTAAGCCTCATAATAGCATTTCAACATGTACATGTGTTTTTTAGAACCTAAGAACAGGGGGGAAAAACCAACCAAAAAGCCACCCTGTCCTGTGGTTTCTTGGTTAGTTTGTTGCGTAGTCTGAACCCTGAAAACACAACTCAGTGTGGTACCAAGCTGGGAATCAGAGAGCCTCTTGACAAGTGCAGGCTGTTGCTGCACTTGCCAAACGGCTTGTCTGAGAGAGCCACGAACTGCTGCCATTTTGCACAGCCATCAGGGGCATCCCCACTCTTCCTGCTCCAGCCCCTAGAGGTCTCCTTTTGGACAGGAGCTGACGATCAGCTGGCTAGCACTGGGAAAGGAGCAGCAGTGCTTAGCTGATGCCCCACTGTCTCCCTGGAGGAAGCCTCATGCACACACATGTGGGAGCAGAGAGAATCAGCTGGGGGCAGTGCCTAGGTGGGGGCTGAGCCACTCAGCTGACTCCCCTGTCTAGGGATGGGTGAGAAATCCACTTGGGGTGGGAATCTATTGGATTCCCCGGGCTTGGCTCCCCAGACTCCAGGCCACTTCGTCACAGTCACAGTCACAAGTCCAAGTTCTGGCAAGTACTCTCAGCATTTGCGTGGCACAGCCCAGGACTCGAACTTGGCACAACTACTGCAGAAGCAGCATCCCTCTTCTGTGTCGCATGCAGCAGCCCTTGCTTGTGATGCACATGGCATGGAAGAAGGTTGCCAGTTAAGCAACCGTCATTCGATGGACGTATGGTGGACTTCTGGGCTCAGCTCACTGTCTGAAACAGGGCCGAGCACGAGAGGAAGCCCGTGAATGCGCGAAAGCAGCTCACATGGAACTTTGCCCCCCCACCTGCACATGCCCGAGGGACGCACCTGTCGTGTGTGAGTGGGTGGGGGGAGAACCAGCTGGGGGGGGGTAATGCCTGGTTCGGGCTGGCGCCACTTGGCTGATTCCCCTGCTGCCCCCATTCTCATTCCCACTTGCCCTACAGGCATCCCCAGCCCAGTACCCCCCTTATGGCCACTGCATTGGGAACGCCCCTCGAGCAAGCGGGAGCAAGACAGTGAGGTGAGTGTCACCTCCTGCTCCATCACTGCCACATGGCAGGAAGGAGCCTGTGTGGGTGCCAGGCCGAGGGTGCCTCTCTGGGCGCAAGAGAGAGGAATGAGTGGGGAACCAGATCGAATTTGAAACAGGACATGTCTGTGACCGAAGACACTGTTGTGTATATCAAGGTTATGACTCACAAGCTCAGGTGACTCACTTGGTGGCACACACATCCATGTTTGGTGGTAATTAAAATGTTAAAGCAGCTCCCTGGACTGAAGCGGAAACCTTCAGGGAATTCCCCACAGGAACATGGGCTAGAGCCCATGTGTCACAAATCCATGTATATTAAACAGGCTCTCTCTGGGATTTCATGGAGGACATGATAGGAGAGCTATGCTTGTTCATCCAGAGAGCTGCAGGATGTCTCAGGCAGGAGGACATATCTATCCGAAAGTGGATAAATACACACTCTGTGCAGTGAGGGATTATGGTGCTGATTATTCCAGTCTAGGCACTTTCATGATAAAAAAACCCCAAAGCCCTCCCTTCAGCTCTCTTCTTTACATAATCCACAGTATAGCAACCTTCTCATTTTGAAGCCATGCAGCAACACTAGGACCTCCAGATTGTCATCCTGTGGTGAGTTGTAAATTCTGCAGTAATTCCATGTTGCTCTGCTGCTTCCCATTTCTGAAATGCGTAGGACAATAAATGGGAGATGTGAAAGGGGTGGGGTGCTTTGTCATACAAACCAGGGGTGGCTTCTATAGCATTCCACATGCAGATTTTATAGTACAAATGCTCGCTCCCTAAACCTTCAGGGCAGGTCATATATATATTAGGCATTCCTTGTTTTGAGGGGCATCTTTTATTTTATGGGTGGGTGGGGAGAAGGGACTCTACTGGTAGAGCTTTGGATGATTTGCAGTAAAGTAGCAGGAGTTTCTGACTCCCTGTTATTTCGCAATTAAGCCAATGTTAAACAGTGTCAAGAAATAAAAAAGTTGCCTCCACCCCAAGTGAAGCTGTTGGGAACCATCAGGAGTGCTTCCAGATCAGGATTTTACTGTGCATTCCTTCTGCCTCATACTGTGTGGAGTCCAGGCACAGTTTTCTTCAAGGTGGGAACTCTTATGCTTGCTTAGTCCATCTTCTAACGTGTTGTGTTCCACCTTGCATGCCATAAAAAAGCGGTGGAAGGGGGAGAGTGATGGAATAGTTGCCCGATGCCTCTTAACTGTGGGTTCTGTCCAGAATCATGCAGGGATAAAATGGCAAGAGCTCGCACTGTTCAACTAACATGGTTGCACTGCCATCAGAACTAGTAGTTCATGAGTAGAACTGCAACTAGCCCAAGACAGACCCGCTCAAGTGAAGTCATAAGGAACTGTGCGACACCTTGGCGGTGCTTCCACTGATTTGTGGAAGAGTGCGTACCACAGCTTGAGCAACTCCTGGTAGAATGGCTTGCAGAATGCCCTGCCCAGCCATTTTTGTAACAATTTGTGGAAGTGGAACCACAATCTGACATTTCACAAAAGTAAAAATGGGTTTCCACAAGAAGTAGACATTTTGTGCTGGTGGAGTGAGACAATTGGGTGGTATGGATACAGCTCCAGGACCCTTCTTTCGGGAAGCACCCCAGAAAAGTATGTATGAGTAAAGGAACTCTGAGTTCACTTCTGGTTCCGAAGACAAAGATGCTCAGTTCTTTAACTCTAAACTTATGTCCGACCCCTGAGCCAATATTTTTCTCTTGGGTCCAGTTAGTGGATCATGGAGTTCTAGCAAGATGCAAAGCAGATGCTCTAACCTGAAATCTGCCCATCTATTTTTTCAGAAATGCCTCTTTTTTCAGGATGCCTCTTTTAGCTTACCCTAGCAATATACAGAAATCTATTCCTCTTGACAACTACCTACCACAACTGATTCAGTATAAAGTATCATGGAAAGTACTGTTTTGAGCTCAAAGTCATCTATGAATGGCTGTTTGATTGCAATGTGATAAGTTCAGTTGCTTTTCCTCTTTTCATAGTGCCAGTCAGGAAGTTAGGACCTTAAAGAGAGACCCCCTTATATTTCATTCTTACTCTCTTGATCTGTTGATGCCCATGTTTTAACAGCACAACTGTTACTTGTTGCAGAGAGCAAAAGATCAGCGCATTGCAGCACTTCATATGTCTCAGCTTTAGGCAAAATGCCTTCCCTAGTTACTCCTGCATAAGCAGCTAACTACATCCTGCAAATACATCGTAGATCACCAATATCGTTTGTTCATGAACCACAGTTTTAAGAAAGAAGAGTTTTGTGTGGAGAAGCAGCCTGGAGGGATGCTTAGCCCTAAGTATCCTAAGGACCATCTTTTTCCGCAGTTACCTGTCCATATATTAGGCTCTTCAGCACAGACCCTTTTCAGCACAGATACCACAATCGCCATCACTTCCTAAAGCTGGGCAGTGACTGACAGGGCTTTCTCTGGTGTGATAAATGGCCCTGAGCTGTTTCCCCATGGTGGTTTTCCACAGATGATCTCCTCCATGGCTTCAGATTAGAAAAGTGTCTCAAAATGAGCTGGGAAGGATCAGAAGGCAAAGATCTCTGAGTGCTCACCATGTAGCAGCCAGTACCATAACATCAGTGCCATAGCATCAACGAGAAAGTCAACTTGTGAAGTTTTACCAAGAAACTATGTAAAATTGGTAGTGTGCACTGGACATTGGTTGCCACGTGCTGAGTTACCTATTTGCCACATATTGGAAGTTAGGCCATGAACTATTAAAAACCAAAGCTCTCCAAAGATATGCCATGCAGCAATGGATTTTAGCAGTGACATGACTTCTTCCTGGCTTACTAGGAAATGCTACTTGGATTACGTTTCACTCAGCCCAAATATCTTCTGTTCTTTGTCCTGTGGTTAGAGATGATACCTTCTGTACAAGCCAGTTATTGAAGACAGGGATGGACATGAATATCCATACAGGATCCATCTGTCATGTTCCTACTACCCAATTTACCATTTAGCCATCTGGGATACTTCCATACATGTCCCTAAACCTCCTGGCTCTGATGCTTCACAGAATTTGAAAGAAATAGGAACCAAATTCTTATCTAAAGAAAATACCTTTCTGAAATGTACTGTAAGATGATGTAATTCATGAAATTCTGGGCATGCTGGCTATGAACCAATTAAGTGCATTCTGGCTATAAAGCCAAAATATTTAGACTCAGCACCCTAGTACAAGTTATATATGCTGTCCTATTTGGTTAGCACTAATACTCAAGTTAGTTTACAAGATTAAATTATCAACTGTACTTCCAATTCCTAGCTTAACATCCGTCAGCCACATCTTCTTTCTGAAGCTTCTCTAGGTTATTTTATTTCCTTCAGCACGTTGATAAATTGGGGTAGTGGGAGGTAGAACTCGCTCTATTACACCCCATTTCTACATTTTGTCAATTCTCTGTGTTTCAGGCAATTTACTATCAAAACTAACACAAACATGTCTATACCCATCCACATGGATAGCCCTCTATGCAAAGTGGAATAATATGCAAAGTACAATCATGGTTCGGTCCATCCAATTATTTTGTATCTAGTTCAGCAAGAAACAAATAATGATTTCAGATGAACCCAGCTATAAGTTTTCCACCATTTTGCTGAAACAGACCTTTGCTGAAACCTTGACCTTGTGAAGGATTTGACACAGCCTTTTAGTTGAAACCATGCATTATTAGAAAACTGGCATTTTTCTAGATCTAGCAGAATAGAAATGTTGCCTATAAATGAATTTTAGCCTGTTGATATCCATTCTGACTGATTTGGATTTTCAAAACCTCAAATGTCAGTTCTTGGAAATAATGAGATGAAACAAAATTATCTGAAGTTTGCATCACTTGATTTCTCAATTATGGCAGACTCAAGTATGTGAGGACTAGAAATGCTGAACACTGGGAGCTCCCAATAAACTCCTCAAACTGGAGAATATGCAATCAAATGACCAAAAAAAAGGGGGAAAATGTTAGAATATGAATAATTTTAGGTTGATGTGAATTTCAGAACATTTGCACATGTTCTGCTCTCCTACATATATCACTTCATGTGCTATGCGCTTCTCCAAATCAGAACCTTTCCAAAAATTAATGTATGTGATACCATGTAGAAATGTTAACTTTTTCATGGAAATGCTCCTACGTTTCATTCCAGTTCCTTTGTAGAGTGGGAACTAGTTGTCCGGATGCTCCAGGGGAACTGCACGGCAGTGCTGGACTTCATCTTGCTGGCTTTCCCTATCCACCCAGAGCATCAGGTCCTCCTTTTCCTGGGCATCAGCATAGTCTATGCAACCATCATCACAGGTAACTTGCTCATTGTGGTAGCCGTCTGGGGGGACTCCCACCTGCACACCCCCATGTACCTCTTCCTGGTGACTCTCTCTGTGGTTGAGCTCTGCTACACAGCAGTTGTAGTCCCACAGATCCTGGTGACCAGCTTGCAGGAGAGAAAAACCATCACTTTTAGGAGCTGCTGCACGCAGATGTTTCTTTTTATCGGACTGGGTAGTGCCGACTGCTTCTTGCTGGCTGTCATGGCCTATGACCGCTACGTAGCAGTCTGCAGACCTTTGCACTATTCCCTCATCATGACACAGTGGCTGTGCATTCAGCTGGTGGCTGGCTCAGTGCTGAGTGGTTTTCTGGTTTCCTCAATGCTGGTGGGACTGATCTTCCACCGCCCCTTCTGTGGTGGGCATGGAGTTGAACACTTCTTCTGTGATGTGCCACCCCTATCGCAGCTCGCCAGCAACAAGACCAAGCTCGACGAGGTCGGGATATTCCTTTCAGGGATAATGGCCATTGCTGTGCCCTTCATGTTGATCTGCACCTCCTACGTTTCCATCGCTGCGGCGGTGCTGCAGAGCCGTTCAGCTGACAGTCGCCGAAGGACCATTTCCGCTTGCTCCTCTCACTTAGCTGTGGTGGCCCTGCAGTATGGCTGCTGCTGCTTCATGTACTTGCGCCCAAGTGCCAGCTTTTCTCCAAAGCAAGACCAGATGCTATCAATGGTGTACACGCTTGGTACGCCACTGCTCAACCCCATCATCTATAGTCTGAGGAACAGAGAGGTGAAAGCAGCCCTAGGGAAAGTCATCAGCCAGCAGATCTGCTAGAGGGAACCTAAATGCCCACGATCACGGCAGACTGTAGGTCCCCAACACAGCTTACCTCTTGCATAGAGAAATGGCTTGTAGGAACTAGTAGGGGACCAGTGTATGTTGTCTGAACTAGCCTGAACAGTTTTGTTTCTGCAGCTGGAGTTAGGTAACTTGGAGCAAAGTCTTAAGGTGGAACTGTGCTTCCTCACTGTCAGAGCAACAGTGGAACCAGCTGCCCAGAGAGGTGGTGGGCTCTCCCACACTAGAGACATTCAGAAAGAAACTGGACAGCCATCTGAGTGGGATGGAGTAAATTGGTGTCCTGCAACAGCAAGGGGTTGGACTTGATGGCCTTCATGGCCCCTTCCAACTATACTATTCTATGATTCTATGTATATTTTGAGGAAAGTTCAGGGACAGAATCCAATGATGCCCATCCACCAGCTGAGCTGGTCACCAGCTCTAGTCCACCAGTTCCATTCCACAAGTAGCCCGTTCTGCTTGTGGAATGATGATTTAGCACTCTTGTTTCTGCAAGGGGACAGCTCAGTGGAGCTCCCTTACGTGAGCACTGCAACCCACTCCCTCCCAGAACAAAAACCTCATGGTTGGCCACTGCACAAAGAGGACACTGGATTCTGCCTCTGTTTCAGAAATGCAGAGGGTGAGGGTATTTGCAAGGGAACATCTGTGGATAGAAAGAGAGCCTCATTCTCCAGCAGTTTGTAATTATTTTTCCTAGCTAAGTAATGCAACCAGCAGCAAGCCCAACTAAAGGGGTAAAAATGGGTGGGCAACCTTTACAATGATGCTCATCATTAGTGAAGGAAGAGAAAATAATTATGATTTTGATGTAAGCTTGCATAATTTTAAAACCTTATCTGACCTGAAACTCAATTATCCTTCAAAATTCACTTCTCTGAATTTTACAATAGAGTTCTGCCAGCAAAAGTACTTGCCAAAAAGATGTATATGTTAAGGAAAGCAACATCAAAATGCATCACATTAGGAAAATTGGTTGCAAATTTAGGCAAAAATACATACAAACTGAATGAATTAAGAAATGTACACAACGACACTTATGGATTTTCATGTGAACTTGAGAAAAATTCTCAAAGTTTGGCATGAACCAAATTTACAGAAATTCTCAAAGTCTCTGGTGAGTAGAACTTGAGACTGGAAAAATGAGAAATTGAGAGAAAGCAACATTGAGTGCTTCTTTCATCTATCCTAAATCAAGGTACATGAGATTAATTAAGTTTCTTCAGGAGTTTCTCTGCCCCATCACAATTCAAGATACCCATTCTCTTCTACTGGATGCATCTTAGTTCTAGTTGGTTCAGCTCCTTTGCTGACAAGGTGCTTGGCCAGGTTCATGCAACCTCCTCTATGCTGGATCCTTGCCACACACACACCCCTAGCTTATAAAAACCAGTAAGGAAGGAAGAACCAACTGGTCCAGAGAGGTGATTAATGCCTCTTTGAGAGAAGGCATGGTCTCATGCTGTCTTAAAGAGGTGGTGGTGAGACTGCTTCTGAAGAAATCCTCTTTTGATCTGGAAACGCTGAATAACTTCAGGATGGTAGCAGATATTCCTCTCCTGGGCAAGGTTCTTGAGAAGGTTGGTGCCAATCAGTTCTTGGGTGAGACTGATTATCTGGATCCATTTCTGCTGGGATTCAGGTCTGGTTTTGGCACAGAAACAGTTGCCCTGCATGATGACCTGGGCAGGGAGTGAGATGGGGGAGGGGTGCAACCCTGTTGATATTCCTGGGCCCTCTTGACGGCTTTCAGTACCATCGACCATCCTCCTGGGGCAACTGTCTGAGTCAAGAGTAGAGAGTAGTTGCAGTGGTCCCTGTCCAACCAGGAGGACTGTTTCCAGAAGGTGTTGCTTAGGGAATATTTTCAGCCCAGTGGATTCTCTACTCTGAAGTTCCTCAAGGATCCGTTCTGTCACCCGTGGTATTTTACCTCTACATGAAACCACTGAGTGGTTTAGGAGTGTGTTGCCATCAGTATGCTAGTGACACGTGGCTCTATTTCTCCTTTTCATCAGCAGCAGGTGAGGCTGTGGATGTGCTGAACTGGTGTCTGCCTGTGACAATGGGCTGGGTTATTGCTAACAAACTGAAGCTCAGTCCAGATAAGACTGAGCAGCTGCCGGTGGGTAGTTCCTTTGACTGGATGGAGGGTGCTCAGCTTGTTCTAGCAGGGGCTGCTTTCTCCCTGAAGGAGCACATTTGTAGCTTGGGAGCACTTCTTGATCCATCTGTCATTTGAAGCTCAGATGGTCTCAGTGGCTAGGAATGCTTTCTACCAGCTTCAGCTGGTGTCCCAGCTATACCCTTACCTGGACAGAGGTAGCTCTGTTTCGGTCATCTATGCTCTAATATGTCTAAGTTAAATTAATGCAATACACTCTACATGGGGCTGCTCTTGAAGACAGTTCAGAAACTGCAGCTGGTGAAGAACACAGCAGCCAGATTAATAACTGGGACCCACAGATCCAAACACAAAAGACCAGTGCTGCCCACTCACTGCCCATACTGGCTACCTGTATGCTTCCGGGCCCAGTTCAAGGTGTTCATTTTAACCTGTAAAACCGTACATGGCTTGGGAGCACAATGCATGTCAGCAGGTCTTTCCCAACCACAACTTTCTCAGACACTGTGCTTAGCCTCTGGAGCCTTCGCCAAATGAGGCTTTCTCTGTGGTGGCTCCCCCATCTACAGAATAACCTCCCCACTGCAGCTCACCCGGTGCCGAACTTGTCATATTTTTGGTGCCAGGTTAAAACTGCTCTATATGCTGAAGCCTTTCAAGACTGACTTAGACACCTAGGAGCCTGAGGGGATGACCCATCCTGTCTTTCACAGGGCCTTTCTTTGCTGCTTGTTTTAGCTGTTTCAACTTTTTACTGTTTCTTATTATTTTGTTATTGTTTTTATGGAGTGTTGTAAATGAGCCAGAGATCTTTGGCTATGGAGCGGTACAGCAATGAAATAAATTATAAGTCATACTAATTGGCCTGGTGTCTCCCTGTTGACCATCCTGTCCTGGGTGCCCCGCCACAGCCCGGCCTAGTGAGAGCCTGGCCTCCTGGCAGCATTGCTCTTGGCTTCCCTGACCCACTCAGACCTGCTCATTGCTTTAAGGCCTGCATCCAAGAGGGGAAGCCTTCCTTAAGCAACCAGAGATGAGCTGAAATGCTAGTCTCTGGAATGGAGGAGGTCAACAGAGCTAGCCAAGGGGCGCTCCAGTAAGCATGCTGTTTGAAATCAGCATTTTGGTTCTCTTCAGTCATTGTCCTGGGAAGTGCTGGTTCCCTTTTGCACTTACAGTGGCTCCCACTGGTACAACACAAATAGTGGAGGTGAAGCAAGTACTGCCCTTGAACTTCGAATCAGATTTCTGCTAGCCAGCTCATCAAGTTGAGTATCCTTTCAAATTGGGACCATCCTCCATAAAGTAAGACATGTGGCCACCCTAGGGGACAAGCATGAGACTAGCACATCCTGCACAGAAATAAGCAAAAATGGAAGGGTGGCAGGTCTGTCAGTTGCATGTTAGCAGAGCATTTCCTACCCAGCACCGTCATCATCACTGTCACCATAGGAGTGACAGTCCCTGGCCCCTGTGCAGAAGCTGAAAATGGGAGGAAGAGCTGGGAGGAAGATCCACTGCATGGCCCATCATACACCACACTGTAAGAAGGAAGGCCGTGAGCCTAGAGAATTGCCCCCTGGTTCCTCTTACCTCACCATGGCTCAGATGGGCATGATAGCTTATATCTGATGTGCTGGGCTGCTACGTGGCCACTGAGCATGCTGGTGGGGAATTATGGGAGTTGTAGTCTGACTCATTTGGAAGGTGCTGGGGTGGGGGAGCCTAGTCTACAGGAAAAGGAAGCCTAGACAAAGTGTGTAGAACCAAATGGACTTCCAGATTTTGAATAGAAAACCATGGATTACTGATTCTGAAATGAACAAAATTCTTTCCTGTCTTCCATTTTACAAAACCCCAATCAAGCCTGATATTGCTCATTTTACATTTGCTGAAGCATCCGTCATTTCTGCCTATAAAGAAAGACATTTTTTCAGAGAGCTGCAGCTGCCATGAGAAAATGTAGCTGCCCCAGCATCTGCTACCCTCTTCCCACTATTGTTTTCTGGTGGTCAGGGCTTCATAGCACATCCAAACCGCTTTTCAATTACCACTGGCCTGCAGCCATAGCTGTGTTTCTTCCTGATACTGCTTTGCTTTTCTTTAAATTCAATTATTGAGCACAAACAAGCCAATCTCAAGGGCTTGGAGTCAGCTCCTTTAATGCACTCACATTGGGAATTCTTCTGGCACTCAAGGCTCTGGATTCGTTGCACTGCCTCTGCCATGCATGCCTTTCTACTACAAGAGGAAAGACGTGACATGCTGCTTTGGCAATGAGCTCCTGCTTTGATGCAGGAAAATACATGCTCTGGGACCCTTTCCATTGCAGACCGAGACCTTCATCTTGCCAGAACACCTCCAACCACATTAGAAGACCATGGAAAAAGACCACCCTATGCTCTCTCAAATGCTGCCAAGATCTCCTCTCTAGGTAAGCTTGGAATCACCCTCTGATAGCAACCATGGGTGGTTGAGTAGTGATCAAGTTGGAAGTCAAAAGGGCCACCTAAAAATAAGGCCCTAGTTCCTGCATACTGTGCTCTTCGTTGTGGTGCAATGATATTTGTAAATGCAAACATTTTTAAAACCCTCCAAACTGCCTGACAAGAACATTTCAGCTTACACAGTGCAAACAGTAGCTGAGTTTTTGGCAGGAAATGATCAGGATCTTAAAAAAGAAAAATCAGAGCCAGGCAGTCTCTGTCAGTATCAGCAAGTCTATAATTGAGACCTCTGAGAGACAGATTGTGGCTGAGTAACAAGGGGGTGGCTGAAAACAAAACCAGCAAGGGAAAGAGAAAAGCAGGGATGGCGAATAAAATGGCCTACTTGTGTCCCTCATTCATCCCTAGAGGAAACTGCATGCAGTGAGCTTAGCAAAGCTTGCCACATCCCTGCATAGAGCAAAGATGTGAGGAAAGGAATAAAATTTGCTTACCACTTCTCGGAACTACTCTGTTCCTATAAAGTTATAAAAAGCTTTGAGGTATAACTAACTCAAATCCCAGTATTTTCACGGGGTCTGTTCTAGGAATGACTAAATCCAGCTCCAACCCATGGTGTCTAGAGCTTGATCCTACAATCATGGCAGTAAAAAATATGGGTATTTTGCTCTACTTGGGAGCCAGGGTAGTGTGGTGGTCAGAGTGCTGGACCCAAGAGATCTGGGTTTTAGTCCCCACTCAGCCAAGAAGCTCACTGGGTGACTTTGGGCCAGTCACTCACTCTGAGCCTGACCTACCTAATAAGGTTGTTGTTGTGAGGATAAAATGGAGCTATTTAAGCTGCCTTGTCACAAGAGGGGAAAAAGCAGGATATAAATACAACACAATAATAATCTCATCTCATATCAGAAATATAAAAGCCTCCCATATCCCCATGAGGGTTAGTGGGGGTCTCTGTCTCTACTTAGTGCCAGCAACGTGTCCGAGATGGACTGATATAGTTGAACTTCTTTCTCCTTTGCACGCAGAATACAGGTCAGAATATGGAGGAGAGTGCGCCAATACAGACTAGGCTCTTCATCCGCACTATTTCAGAAAATGTTGGTTTATCCCACATGTGGACAACACAATAGATGTTTCACACATAGTCCCCCCCAGACCTAAAATAAAACCTATACCCCAACCTTCTGACAGTGGAGCTTTTTTTTTTTTTTTTTAAGCACACAGTTGGAGCTTACAGTCAAAAACCCAAAGCACACACTGACAGCTGCAGACTGGAGGAATGCTTCCATGGTAAAACTGATAATGTCTTCCAAAAAGAGAGAATGGAGACATTTGTCCTATCCAATTTTATTTTCAGTTTCTCAGGAGGCAAAGCTGCTGACACTCACTCTAAGCATAAATCCTGCCAGCCACAACATTTCTCCACTAAGCAGATTTGCTTTCCCAAGGACATTCTCTATTATTAATTTGTGATGGGGACAAATTGTAATAAAAGGTATTTGAAATAATTCCTCAAAACAATCAAAAGATGGGTTTGACAGCAGATCTGATTTCTGTAAAATTAACTATTTCAAGGACTGAGAAAATAAAAGCTGACATTGAAAGATGGAGCAAAGAGGACTAATATTGAACTGAAAAGAGAATAAAGAGAGTAGATGAATAGTTCTTGTTATAGCTAGTGAATGAACTAAACTAAATATAGCTTTCATATAGCCTGAAGTGCCTGATCCTGCCTAATCTTAGATATCTAAGCAGGGTCAGACCTGGTTGAAATCTGGTTAGGTGTCTTAAAATGTTGTGAACTGTCCAGACTGCTTTGGCTACTGGTGGTATAGAAATATAATGCAATAATAATAATAGTTGACCAAGACTATAATTGTCTGCCACATCTTCTAACTACATTTCCCCAGACAACCATAAAACAATCTGCTAATTTTGGTACTATAATGCAGAAAAAAGTGGTATGAATATACAGAACATTTCAGTGGCTAGGTTTGCACAATACAACAACCCATTGTGGGTGACAGGCATACTGTGGGGTGGCTTGTTCATGGGCAACAAAATGCCCAACAGCCTATGGCTTGTTCTGAGGGCTGTCATGTCATCCAAACCTGGATGACTTTCCCCACCATGGATGCAGCCAACCAGTTGCTCAGCAAGAACAGCGAAAGCCTCTTGCCACAATCTTCAAGTTCACCCAGACCATCAGTAACTGATGCCCAAACAGGTTGGCGGAGTGGCTGTCACTGGCTGGGGGTTCACCACTGCAATCACAACCCCATTTTCATTCATCACAGCCTTTTTTCTCCCCCCACCCCCCCGCACCTTTTCCAAAAATCGTCATTTGTGGTCCCTGAGGTGACAGCCAATGACAGCCCCTTCCAAGTGCCAAGCAGCGCATTGCAGCAGCTGTTGGTTGCTCGCCACCCCCTGTTTTCAGTGTAAGAAATGCGTGAAATTTGTTTGCATTTTTTAATAATTAGTTGGCTTTCTGCAAGGGTGCACTCCTTGAGTGGGCAATATCCTGGAAGATGTCTGTGGCCCAGATGCAGCAAGAAACACCCACATTGGTCATGGACACAAGGAGGCTGATAAGAGGTGTATTTTGCTAAATTTCCCTCAACAGCTGTCAAAAGGCAAGGTGTCAAGAGAAAGCAAAGCAATGTGTAATCTTTGCTTTCAAAAGGAGGTGGATAGCAGACCCCAACCATTTGCAGCAAGATCCTCTAGTTTGGATATGCAAATGTCCCTGTCAAAATGCCCTGGTTAGGACCATGGATAACCCTAGTTCAAAGGAAGTCTGAAGATTGGTTAGCTTCCACTTTTCCACCTTCCTGAACACTTAGAGATGCAGGAAAAAGTGAAATGATGCAAATTCACCAAAAATGCAACAGTGCACTTGACCAGTCCTTTCCCCATTTTTTGAAAATAAGACATAGGGTCGGATCTGATGTAGGGTGCAATCCTGTGCATGTTCAGTCAGGAAAAATGGTGTGAACATGCACAAGTTTGCACCCTAAACCATGTTTCATTTAGGTCCTTTGAAATCAATGTGGTGCAAGTGAGCCATGGCCACCCTTAAGGACTTTTGGGCTTCTTTGGGCTACTCTGAGTACAACTCAACTTGAACCTAACCCATGGTCTCTTTGAAGATTTTATGGGAAATTTTTGACTAAGTTTAAAACGTATTTGAAAGAAACAAAGGGACTGCTCTCAGCAGTATCTCATTAGGCTTAGAAAAGTTGGACGGGTTAGGACAAATAGGAACCGATACCAGTACAGCCACCTCAAAATGAAAATTGGAATATATCTTTAATAATGAGCATTCATTATCAAACTTGAAAAAGAACCATTCTAAGATGCCCTATGAGTAATATTTAAGGGCATATGAAAAATCTGATACAGCAGTAAATATAAGTGCTGGAAATAACTGATCCCCCTTCCTAGAGTCAGAGATCAGTACATATAGAGGAATAGTCCCAAACTAATGAATGTTTGGGCAGTATGAATAAACTACAAATGGGAAAATTATTTGCTCATGACATTCAAGGACTAGTTAATGCTTCTTTGTCTTATCAGAGGGGAGAAGACAAGATGATCCTAGGAAATCACAGTGTGGTGACTGAATTTGTGTTCCTAGCTTTCCCCAACAACAGACTGATCCAGGCCCTGGTCTTCACAGCCATGCTTCTGGTCTACATAGCCAATGTTTTAGGAAATCTGCTCATCATAGTAGCTATCTGGGAGCATCCCAGCTTGCATACTCCTATGTACTTTTTCCTGTGGTCTCTTTCCATAACTGAGCTCTGCTTTACAACATCTGTGATACCCCACATGCTGGTGAATATTTTACAAGAAGAGAAAAGCATCACTGTTGGAGGGTGTGGGGTCCAGATGTTCATCTTCATAGCCCTGGGCAGCACCGACAGCTTCCTTCTAGTGGCAATGGCTTATGATCGCTATGTCGCCATCTGCCACCCTCTGCACTACGCTCACATCCTGACATGGCAGAGATGTGTTTGGCTCGTGGCCATGGCACTGGCCCTGGGGGTGCTGTTGTCTATGGAAATTGCAGTCCTGATATTTCATCTTCCTTTCAATGGCTCCAACCAGATTGAACATTTTTTCTGTGATGTCAATCAGCTGCTGAAGCTGGCAAGTACCAGGACTGACTCGGAGGAGATTGCCCAGTTCGCTGGCAGCGTCCTTATCCTTTCCGTTCCCTTCCTGCTCATCGCTGTCTCGTACATTTGCATCATCAGAACAATCCTGCAGATCCCCTCAGCCAAGGGGCGGGTCCAGACTTTCAACACTTGCTCCTCCCACCTCATCGTGGTCTTGCTTCAGTATGGCTGTGGCTCTCTGGTGTACCTTCACCCTAAATCCAGACAGTTTGATAAGATGGATCAGCTGCTTTCACTGGTGTACATCTTTGGCATCCCCATTCTGAACCCCGTTGTCTACAGCCTGAGAAACAAGGAGCTCAAAGATGCCGTAAGAAAACTCGTGCTGAAGGGAAAGCTAGAAATGAGAGACAAGTAGTTCCTGCACTTCCTGAAAGTGTGTCTCTACACTTTCTCTAATGTGTAGCATTGAACGCAAATGGTGCATCTTATGATTGTTCCACAATATGCAGCTTCTTACCTCCACAGGCTGATGGAACTGGGGGAACACACAAAGTTGCCATGACACTATGTGGTGCGTTCTTTCAATTAAATGTCACAAGCAAACAAGGGGAAAGAAGCAAGGAGGGGTGGCGGTGGCAGCTGTGAATGAGCTCTAGCTCAACCATCAGGCAATTCTTGCTAACTTCACCTTATTTCAAGGTATGGCTGATGCATGTGCTTAAAATGCCGGTATCCATTTGGTGTGTATGGCACAGCCACAGGGCTGGGGAAACAGCTTCTTTAGGGAAGTCATGTTAGATAGCTTGGAGCAACGTCTTCCGGTGGAATTGTACTGCTGCAAGCTCCTCGCTTCCTCAAGTGGTTTACAGATCCAAGGACAGCATGACCAAAAACTGCTTTCCTTTGAGTGAGAGCACACTGGAGACCTATGACGTATGTACATTAATCGTTTCATTTACAAATAGAGATCAAAAGTGGAGACAAACAACAGCACACACACCTTCCCTGGGCTTTGGCTGCTTTCATGTGTCTCACGGGGCTTTTCTATCAGAAGCATTTATTGTGCACTCATCGTTCCCAACTCACAGTTGTTTATGGTTTCTTTAGACGACACTTTAACCCTCCTGGTTCACTTCATTGCCTGACAAAGACTTCGGTGGTATATCTGTGTGTGTATATATTTAGAGCAGTAAAAATGCAGTATTTGTTTGTGAAAGTGAAAGAAAAATTTTTTTGCATTTCTAAATTTGTGCTCTTCTGCTGTACCACATTGCCACCTAGAGGTCATGCAGCAGAAAGGGAAATGTTCCTCGTTTGATTCCGTAAATAGTGTGGACCAACAGCCAATTCACAGCCTTATGTAGAAAAACCAATAAGTCGCACTGTGGATGTATCAAGCACCATTAGTTAACAGAACCTCTGAAAAGGAGCATCAGCCAGACCTAAGGATACATCAGGAGGACCACACAGTGCTCCCAATCTTATATTTTCATTGTGGGACAAATACAGGGATGAAAACATTTGTAAAAGGAGTGTCAGTAAATTAACACCTATCTCTGATTCTCTCCCACAAACTGGGTGGGAGTTAATGAAGAGTCTATAATTAAGATTCTATGAAGGGATCGGTTAAGCAAGACCCCAGATTAAGCCCTACAAGGATCGGATCTTAGAAGTAGATGACTCTCTCTCTCTCTCTCTCTCTCTCTCTCTCTCTCTCTCTCTCTCTCTCTCTCTCACACACACACACACACACACACACACACACACACACACACCCCAAGCAGTTTTTAATAATAATTGCCTCAACTGGACTCTAAAATGGAAAGTGAGTTCAGGTGAATTTTAAAAATGGTGGTAGCACAGTCAGGAAAGGAAAATGCACAGGCAGACCTGTCTGACTGAGGAAGCTTCAGCTGCCTTCTTCCTGCTGCTGGTTCTACCCTGCACACACTCCCACCAGTCCAGCATTCACATCCCCTCAGCTGTTGTGGGACTGGAAGCATGCAAACTGCCTCCATCATAGAACAAACACTGCTAGATGTTCATGCAAACATTTGTATGAACGGGATGAAGGAACTTGCCTAAGCCATGGTCTTTGATGGAGCCATTCAGCCTTCATTTTCTGGTCCAAGGGAACCATTTGCATGTAAAGCAAGAAATGAGGACTGCATGCAATATATGTTGAATAAATGGTCAAATAAATAAAGAGCAAGTGGTCAAGTTCTCTAGGTTCATCATCATTTTGACAATGGTGGTAGTGGAGGAGGAAGATTTCCTTTGCCAAATGATAATTATGAACCTCCTGCTTTCCCAGATCAAGCTTGTTGAATACCTGGTAGTTTAAGAACAGAAGCTTTTTAAAACCTTAACTTATTACTGCAGGGATAGGTGACATAGTACCCACCCCAGATGTTTTGGACTGCAAAATTCTATACTCTCCAATGATCAGCAATTATAGAAGTGGTCATTTCTAACATCTGGAGGACATCAGGTTGCCTGCCTTGTGAATAAACTTAAGCAGGATAAACTGTTTTTCTCTGATCAGGAAGAGGGTGTGGTTATTTACTCTGTACTGCCCTGAGTATTGAAAGATTCCTAGACAACAGCATTTGTTTCCATTTGGACAATTGCCATTTATGGAATGCTGAGATCTGTGTGCTTACAAATATAGATGAGAAGCAAGGAGGAGCAGACAGGCAGTCATCCCATCTAGAGGGCTTCCAGATGAAGGCATCCTAGCACTCAGTCAGAGGGCTCCGTATAGGTACTGTCTTCACTTATTTAACGGATGTTCTGCCATATGATGGAAGAAGAGGTGGAAAAACACAGAAAAGCTATGAGTGGAAGATGAACCCTCCCCTCTGCAAAATTTCATGAATGAGGCATGGTTTGGGGGTGCTAAAAGCCTTGCCTGAAAGCTCCCCTAGCATGAGGGCTTCTCCCTACAAGGCATTGATTGTGCTCTCATGATCTCTCATCCACAATAGTTTGCAGCCGCTTTACGTGACATCCTCATCCTCCCAGAGTCTGTTTACTAAGCATCCTCGTGGCTTTTATCAGAATAAAGATGATGAGCTATTAAAGTGCTTGCATGCTATAAAACAGTACAAATGGTAGAGCATTTTCACGATTCTGCTCTACCACAATGCCACCTTGTGGTCATGTAACAGAACATGTAGAATGACAGGGAAAGAAAAACCTTGGAAGGAAAAAGACAGTAAAAGAGCCAGTGCTAATTCCACAAAGAATATGGAAGCAGAAGCTTCTCTGCCTTCTATAGGTTCTATTAACCAACGACAAGGCAGTGCTGTGGCACAGCTACAGATCTGCAGTGTCTCACAAGGCTTTTGTTTGGGTTTGAACTATGAGTGTGACTTTCCTCACACTCACACCTCACCACTACTACCACCATACTGACTGGAACACATGAGAGGCAATGACTTCATGAGAAGGCCCCACAAACGTCTATGGAGTGAAGCATCACAAGCGTACAAGAAATGTCTTGTGTTGGGAAGCCCTAAAGAACATAAAGAACTGCTTGATTATAGCTAGGAAAAATAACATATTGCACTCTGATTAAAACGTTTCCCATCCAGGGATTCAGTGCTGCTTCTTTTTCCATAAAATAAGTCCTGGGTCAGAGAGATCAATGCAAGAGTCACCTTGGATTTGGCACAAGGGAAACACATTACAATTATACTAATTAGATGGGATAACAGTTATTCTTAAAAATTCCAGTTATGTCCATGCAAGAGGAGTTTGGGGGGAGAAAAAAGTACTACAAGCTGAAACCTCAGGTTTCTAGAAAAGCCACTGCAGATAACCAACCTGGCTATTAGCACAGAAAAAATAGTATTTATCATGTATTCAGGAAGTCAAGAGGTGACCATTCATTACATGTTGTGGTAGCCATCTTGAACATTGCGGTGCAGATGATCCTTTCTATATGCTAAACTTACTTCTGGCCAGACACTATCCCATGACACCCAAGGTGCTTCCAGGTGAGGCATTTAGCACAGGTGGCTTCTGAGATGAGATGTTGCAAGGGGTCTACATATGGCTGTCCTCCACTTGGAGCTCTCTCCGTCATTTTTCCCTTACCACAGGAAATTCATTGCTGTGCCTTCTGGTTGTTAGCACTAGGAGTCCTCCATCTAGAAGCAGCTCAACTGCAGCAGTTTCTCTTTGAACTTCCAATCGCTCTCACGCATGCCAGCTGCAGGAATATCTTAGCCTCTGTCCTAGCTCATGAAAAAGAGGAAAGTTCATTGCCTAAAACAGGGTGGTCCAACTTTTCATATATCAAGGACTGCATGAGGATTCGACACAGAATCCTGAGGCCGCACAATAAATTACATTTCCATATCATAAATATATCATAAATATCATAAATGCTCACAATATATGTGATATACACAATTAGAGATCACAGGCAGCTCCTTCTCCAACGACAGCTGAAGCATAATGACCACTCCACTGGGGTGGCCCATCCCTTTCTTCCCTGTTTCTCCCACCCAGAACCCTCCCCCCATGTAACCCCCGAGCCCCTCCTTTCTTCTTGAAATTGGCACTCTGAGCCTCGTGCACTTGAGCCAACGAAAGTGGGATGGAACGGTGGCCTCAGGAGAGCTCACTGCAATCATGCCTGTGCCATCACTGGGATACGGATGTGCGGGGGAACAGGGGGGCTCCAAGTCGCAAGAGAAATGCAGAATAAGGTCTGGCGGGCCTCATGTGGCCCATGTGCTGTGTGTTGGACCACCCCAGCCTAGAAGCATGATCTGCTGATCTCAGTAACTTTTACTTCTACTATGTACTTTTCCTTGCCATTTGAAACTTAACATTCTGTGCCAAGTCAAGCTATCAGCTGAAAGGTCTTGCTATTTTCTTGCTAATACACATTTAATATTTTCTGGAATAAAGTGTACTTTTGTTTCAGGGTTGATATGATCCTTCATGTTTCAAAAGCTCCGATGCTCACAAAATCTGCAGTTGCTTGGAAGCATGCTACAAATGATTTAATGCAGAGGAGTAAAGCAAAATGGTTAGATCATCTTTTTAATACACATAAGAAAAATGCTCATGCACCGATGCCAATTCTTCCTAATTATTGTTAAAACCCAGGGATTTTGTGATTACCTGATGCTCAGAGGGGAAGCCGCTGCCATTGGAGAGGCTCAGTTCTCAAGCCATGCCTCTCTTGGTCACACCATGCAGCATTGAGGTACAGGTTGGCCCAGTTGTCTGGTATCTTGCTCGCCACGTGTGTGACAGGATGGAAAGGAGAAAGGCATAAGCTCAGTGGAGAAAGAAAACATTTCCCAGGGAAATTTGGTCAAGGCCAGCTCTGCTTAATTTTACCTTTAGTACTGAAGCAAAGAGATCAAAAGTCCGGGTGCCCCACATGCCGAAGAGTTTGAATGATTGTTGGAGAAAGCTCCCATTCATATGGAGGGGAGTAATTTCCAACCTCTGAGTGAGTCCACAAGAATTTAGATGTTCTTGCAAGGGGAGTGGCAATGGCAGAGGGCAATATGACAATGGACCAGTTAATGGAGAACTTGATAGCAAGTCATCAAAGGAGAAGAGACCTCATCCAGTCCTGCTTGCTTATGGAGAAAATGACTGTGGCATTTGGATGGGTTGCCCCTTGTTGGTGAGTTGAGTGCCTTCAGAGCTCTGGCAAGAGCTGGGAGCTCAAGGTGGTTGATGTTCATGGTTCACGTAGATCGGAGCTGAGCACAAAGAATGCTGCTCTGTTTCTCTGGATCTGCTTGGTAAGGGACTGGCAGTGGAGACAAACATCCATCCTGAGTGCCTCTCCAAGAGCAAGAAGGCAGCTGGAGTGTCCCTTGCTCAGTGGTATCTTCCTGCCCCAGTGAGCACCAGTTTTGAAGGGGGGCTTTGAGGTATGCAGCTGAAAGGGACAGTGAAGGAAAGAGAGGGGAAACCTGAGAGAAAATAGGAAAGAAAGAAAAAGGGAAGAGAAATGCACCAAATGCGGCACACTAAAAAGAACTGAGAGGCAGGTGGGAGCCATACTTAATGTGCAGAAGATGTGGGCATGACTCCTGCCTCACATTCGGTTTAGTGCTGGAATGTGCAGAAGGACTGTCCTGCGCAGGCTCATAAACCACCTGGCTGAGTCAAGGAGACCACAGGAAGGGCTGCAAGCTCAGCAGCCTCCCCCTGGCTTCCCTGGTTCTGTTTGCACTGCACACTGATGCTCCAGGGATGCCCGTTCCTCCGCAGGTTGCTCTTGGCCTGGTCTTTACAGATTCCTTTTCCACAAGCCTGGCCTAAGCTTGGAACTGTGGTAACAGCTTTCCAGGCTTACCACCACAGTAGCTATTCCCAGAAGTGGAGAGATTGCAAGCTCCGTGGCATATTGTTTTTTTTGCCATTGCTTGTTTTGTTTTCACGTGCATTGTAAATCCGCTTAGAGAATCCTGCTGGACTATTGATTAAGTGGATTATACATTCAATTATATTTAGAAAAACAGACTATGATGCTCACATATCCAAGCTGAAGTAAGTGTCTTCTGGGTCACTGAATGTCCCTCATCCCCCCACTCATGATTCTGAAGAGGGATGACCTCTCCATGAAGTTTTTCTCCACCATGTTGGCTTCACGTATGTAGCTTGCTGGCTATAGTCAGCTTATGATTTCTCAGCCTACCAGCTGCCCATAACTGTCAACAAATGCAGCAATTTGGCATTAGCGTGCTGGTTCTCTGGGTCTCCTTTGTGCTGCCCCATCTCAGTGCCACTAGAAAAATACATATTACTGTGGAGAATTTTGCCACCCTGGTCTCTGGGGCTGGTTTGCTGATGTGCCTCTTCTTCCCCAAGTGTGACCTCATTTTCTTATGACCCAAGAGGAACAAAAGAGTTCAGTGGCAGAGGAGGAAATCTCCAATTCAGTGCATTAAAAAAAGCAAGATTTTCATTTCAGTTAACAAATTATGCAAACTTCCCATTCTCAACCTGAACATGAATGAGAGTGCTTTTTTGCAAAGAAAGTCTGTGCATTCTGAAATTTGCCAGGGCACATAGAGATGCTTATTTTTTAAAGTGCACTTTGGAATGCCAATTTTAAAAAATGTATTTCCACAATTTAGTCAATGAAAGGAAAGTCCACCCCTTTGAAAATGATGCAAAGAAAAGCACACTTTTCCCCATTCAAAATGCTCTTTCCTCATTCCAACACACAAACAACACCAAAAACAGAAGAAAGATGGAAATAAGTAAAAGAGCTCCAAAGTGAAGTTTGCGACATTTCCCTGAGCTTGACCATCCCCAAATCTTTCATCTCTACCAATGAAACCTCACATATCCTCAAACATCCAAATGAAGAGCAGGTATATTTTGCATAAGTATTTTGTATCCCACTTCTCTGTTATAAACAAACACTCAAGTCACCTGACAACATTCAAAAGGAAATGCTACTTAAAATTAATTGAGATGGGGGCAGCGCATTAAAGGTCACAAAAATTCCAGGAAACGTAATTGGGCCCCCCTCTCCTCAGAGGTGTCTTCCCCTGCCCCCCGGGGGTGGGGGAGTCACATGGAAAAGAATAGGATCCCTCTCTCTACTATGCATGCACAATCAGAGCAGGTTCATCCACAGGGTTGGTACTGCTGATCTTGCCCCATGCAGAGGAGGAAGCAACGATGCTGCACACACCGATCCATTCTTGCAATATTAACGTTACATGAATGAAGGCCAGTTCCACTAGCAAGGAGACAAAGCCAATGGCATGATTCATGTTTCAGTGACCGAGTGCTTCCCAACAACAGGCTCTATGCAGACACAAAGCCCATGTGTGTGGTGTGCAGATACCACAAAGAACCAGATTTCACCAGGGAAGTTCTCTAGTAAGTGAGATGCAGGGAGGAAAAAGCACCTGAGGCCATGCAGACACATCCCTTGCCCTGAAAATGTACCTATTTAGATTTCTAGACAGCCATATCATAGCTCAGAGCAAGCAGCAACAGACCTGTGTTAGCCACTATTGATCATGGTTCTTTGCTTTTATTTCAAATATTTTGGTCCTAAGCAGGCCAAACCACCAAGGTCTGGCAGAACACAGACCCAACACTCTAGCTACGACCTCCTTCTTTAGATACCATTGTGCTTAGTTTAAACGGTGGTGAGTCAACCCTGTTGCGTCCACCGCCACTCTGTGCCAAGTGGGGTCTGGAGCCTCCATCCTTAGCACTGCCTTGATGGCACCACCATCTTCAGTAGTCCAATGAAGGAGAAACAAGTGGGATTGTTGTTATTATGTTCCTCTGTGGTCTAATAGATTTTTGGCTGTTCTTTTGACACTGATCATGTATGGATTGACTGAAGGGGTGCTTGCCCTTTAGTTCTGGCTTCCTTCAGGAAAGGAAAATGTGCTATAAATATTACATGAAATGTCTTCCTACCTGTGATAGATCCCATTTGTGTTCCCATGTAGATTCCCAGCGACCATGATGCCATGATTACATCCATATATGATTACATCCATATATTATGGATGTATATATTATACATGATTACATTATATGATTACATCCATATATGCCCAACCGCCCCTTGAGATCTGTGGGAGAGGCCCTTCTCCGGGAACCCTCCGTGAAAGAAATTAGGAGGGTAAGTACTTGGAGGAGGGCTTTCTCTGCGGTGGCGCCCAATCTATGGAATGTGCTCCCCAGAGAGGTCCGCCTGGCGCCGTCGTTATTTGTTTTTCGGCGCCAGGTGAAGACCTTTTTATTTAAACGTCATTTTAATTGTTAACAATATTTACTTATTTATCTGGCCAGGGCAACTTCTTTTCTTTTCTTTTATAACTTTTCTTTTATAACTTCTTTTATATCGTTTATATTTTTTATTTATTTTATATTATTAATTTTAATTTTATATTGTTATTTTTGTATTGTATTGTATTGTATTGTATTGTATTGTATTGTATTGTAAGCCACCCCGAGGCTTCGGCAAGGGGCGGCATAGAAATGTTCTAATAATAATAATAATAATGCCGACAATCTTGGGTAGACCACAAGCCAGTGAGATTGTTCCCCATCTACAAAAAAATGGACCTCAAAGGGAAAGGGTAACAACTTGCCTGTGGCTCCTTGGCCAAACTGGAACTTGGGACAAGATCCATATGTATTTATAAACCCTAGGAAGAGGATAAGTAAGGGGGCTATTAGGGGGCTACAAACTAGGTGACGATTTGTCCTGAGAGGACAAATTTATTCTGCTAACTCCCTGTCCCTGCCAATTAACTTGAATGTTTGATCTATGGTTGGTGTCATATTATAATCTACTTTCCCTTGAAAATGGCCCTGTGTAAGGCTCCCTTCACTTCTGTCTTCCTTAGACTGTAGATCAAGGGGTTGAGCACAGGAGTGACTATTGCATAAAAAACTGACACCACCTTATTGAAGTTGATAGAGGAGGCAACTTTAGTACGGACATACATGAAGAAAAGTGTCCCATAGAAGACAGACACCACCGTGAGGTGGCCAGTATAGGTTGGAAAGGCCCGGTAGCGTCCCACCAAAGAGTCCATCTTCAGCACTGTGGAGAGAATGAGGACATATGATACCACGATGACAAAGCAGGAAATCAGGAGCACAACTAAGGAGACCAGGAAGTCAACCGTCTCTTTCAGGGAAGTGTCAGTGCAGGAGAGAACAAGGAGTGGAGAGGCATCACAGAAGAAGTGGTCTATCGCACTGGGGCCGCAAAAGGTCAGCTGCGACATGAAATAGACAGGCAGTGCTGGGGTGAGAAACCCAACTAGCCAGGAGCCAGCTGAGAGGAGCTTACAGGGTCTCGGCCTGCCATCTCCTGGTAGCGCAGTGGTACACAGATCGCCTCGTAGCGGTCATAGGCCATGGCTGCTCACAGGAAGCATTCAGTGCTGCCCGAGAAGGTGAAGAGGTAAAGCTGGGTAAAGCTGGGTCAAGCAGGCAGGATAGGAGATCATCCTACCAGTGAGGGATCCAAAGCCAGACAGCATCTTGGGCACAGTGAGGGAGGTGTACCAGATGCCCAAGCACGAAAGGTGGATAAGAAAGAAGTACATGGGGGTATGCAGGCGCTTTTCTATTGCCACCGCTAGGACCAGGAAGCCATTCTCAGTCAGGGTCAGCACGTACATGAGCAAGAAGAAGGCAAAGAGAGGCATGTGCCCTTCATGTATGCCAGTAAAGCCCACCAGGACAAATTCCGTCACAAGAGTCCAGTTCTCATGAGGAGTCTGCATCTGGAAGAACCAACACAGAATTGTTAGAATGTGGTGACCAGGGGTCAGAGCAGAAGCCTTGTTCTAAACATTCAAAGACTTGAATACATGTTTTTTTTAAAAAATAAAACTATGCATGCACATATATCTGTATGTACACAGTTTCTGTGCTGACTTTGCACCAAAATGTGTCCATGAGAATGCACTGAGGATGTGGACAGAGCATTTAGCTTAATCTAGGGACAGTGGATACAAATTCCTACTCAACCATGAAGCCCACTGAGTAATCTTGAACCAGTTACTGTCATCTAAACTATGGATGGATAAAATGGACATAATCCCACAGATACACCCCTAAAAGATTATTATTATTATTATTATTATTATAACATTTCTATGCCGCCCCTTGCCGAAACCTCAGGGCGGCTTACAACATGATAAAATACATTGAAATACAATAGTACATAATAAATTACCATTAAATATAAAAATACAAAAAAATACATTGATTTACAAATACAAAATTAAAATTATCAGTATAAAATAAAAATATAGGAGGAGAAAGAGAAGGAAGAAGAAGTTGCCCAGGCCAGATCATATGTTTTAACAATTGAAATGATGTTTAAATAAAAAGGTCTTTACCTGGCGCCGAAAAACCAGTAACGATGGTGCCAGGCGGACCTCTTTGGGGAGTGAATTCCATAGGTTGGGCGCCACCGCAGAGAAAGCCCTCCTCCGGGTACTTACTCTCCTAATTTCTTTCATGGAGGGTTCCCGGAGAAGGGACTCTCCCGCAGATCTCAAAGGGCGGTCGGGCATATACGGACGTAAGCGCTCGTTCAGGTAGCCAGGACCCAAGCCGTTTAGGGCTTTGTAGGTCATAATCAACACCTTGAATTGGGCCCGGGCTTCAATGGGAAGCCAGTGAAGCTGATGGAGGACTGGAGTCATGTGAGCATAACGCCCCGTCCCCGTCAGCAACCTGGCAGCTCTATTTTGCACCAATTGAAGTGTTCGGACTGTCTTCAGGGGAAGCCCCACGTAAAGCGCGTTGCAGAAGTCTAGGTGGGAAGTCACCAGCGCGTGTGTCACCGTCGCCAGGCAGTCGTACTCCAGGTAGGGGCGCAGCTGATTAATCAGCCGAAGCTGAAGGAAGGCGTTCCTCGCTACTGCTGTCACCTGAGCTTCCAAAGAGAGCTCCGGGTCGAGGAGTACTCCTAAGCTGCGGACCTTTTCCCTAAGAGGGAGTGTTGCACCATTCAGGACCAGGTCAAATCCACCCTCTCCGAAACCCGATCCGCCAACCAACAGGACCTCCGTCTTGTCTGGGTTGAGTTTCAGTTTATTGGCCCTCATCCATTCCATTACCTCGGCCAAGCACCGGTTCAGCACAGCCACTGCCTCACCTGGATTAGTGGAGAATGAGAGGTAAAGCTGGGTATCATCAGCGTATTGATGATTCCGCAGCCCACACCTCCTGATGACCTCTCCCAGCGGTTTCATATAGATGTTAAATAGCAGAGGGGATAGAATGGAGCCCTGTGGTACCCCATGGCATAGCTGCCATGACGTAGAGACATGGTCCCCCAGCACTACCTTCTGGAATCGACCGTCGAGATAGGAGCGGAACCACTGCAAAGCAGTGCCTCCAACCCCCAATCCCGCAAGTCTATCCAGAAGGATACCATGGTCGATGGTATCGAAAGCCACCGAGAGGTCCAGAAGAACCAACAGGGATGTACTCCCCCTGTCCTTCTCCCTGCACAGGTCGTCGTACAGGGCGACCAAGGGAGATTCAGTACTGTACCCGGGTCTGAAGCCGGACTGAAAAGGATCCAGATAATCAGTTTCATCCAAGAGTGCTTGGAGTTGTCCCGCCACCACTCGCTCCAACACCTTGCCCAGAAACGGGATGTTGGCCACAGGTCTATAGTTAGTGGCCATCTCTGGATCCAGTGACGCTTTCTTCAGGACCGGTCATATTACCGCCTCCTTTAAAGGGGCAGGCACTCGACCCTCCCTCAGAGAAACGTTAACCACTTCCAAGATCCAGGTCCCAATCCCGTGTTTGGAGTTATTTATTAACCAAGACGGGCAAGGATCCAATAGGCAAGTGGTGGGACGTACTCTTCCAAGCACCTTGTCCACATCATTGGGCCGCAAAAATTGAAATTCCTCCAGTAATTTTGGACCAGACGGTGGCATTGGCGACTCCTCAGAGACCTCTGATTCATTAGTGGAGTCCAGCTCGTGACGAATCTGAGCGATTTTCTCCCTGAAATGCCTGGCAAAGTCGTCACAGCAGGCCTTTGAGGGTGGCATCGGATCTTCCTTAGGACCCAGGCGAACCAGGCCTTGCACCACTCGAAAAAGCTCCGCTGGACGGCATTGTGAGGAGGCAATGGAAGCGGAAAAAAACTTCTTTTTCGCCGCCTTCACCGCCACAGCATAGGCCCGATAGTGGGCTCTCAAGTGTGTTCGGTCAGATTCATCCCGTGATTTCCTCCACCTACGCTCTAGCCGTCTCCCAGCTCGCTTCATCGCCCGTAATTCAGGTGTATACCAAGGGGAAGAGCGGACTCTGCCCGGTGGGAGAGGACGCTTAGGAGCAATCGTGTCCACAGCCCTGGTCATCTCTCCGTTCCACAGTTCGACCAGAGCCTCGACAGGAGCACCAGTCTTGTCAGTCGGAAACTCCCCCAGGGCCCCCAGGAATCCATCCGGATCCATCCGGCTCCGGGGGTGGGCCCATACAATCGGGTCCGCACTCTTATAGAGGGAGAGGCCGCTCTCAAGCACAAACCTCACCAGGAGGTGATCTGACCATGACAGGGGAGTCAAACATAAGTTCTTCACCCTCAGGTCATCCTCTACCTGCCCCATCGTGAATACCAGGTCCAGAGTGTGCCCACGTTCATGGGTAGGGCCAGTGACGTGTTGAGACAGGCCCATGGCCGTCATAGAGGCCATGAAGTCCTGAGCCGCCCCGGTCAGTCCAGACTCGGCATGGAGATTGAAGTCCCCCAGGACCAACATCCTGGGGGTCCTCAACACCAGATCCGAGACGGTCTTTGTCAGCTCAGATAGGGAGACTGCTGGGCAGAAAGGTGCACGGTACACCAATAGAATCCCCAATCTGTCTCGTTCGCCCAACACCAAGTAGAGGCACTCCAGCCCTGGTCTCAAAGGGACCGGAAGGCCCATGAGAGAGATGGAGGCTCTGTAAACCAACGCGACTCCCCCTCCCCTCCCTTCTGGGCGTGAACAGTGTTGAACCAGATACCCGGGCGGGCACAATTGGGAGAGGGCAACATCCCCTCCCTCTCCCGCCCAGGTCTCCGTTATGCAAGCCAGGTCGGCCCCCTCATCCACAATCAAGTCATGGATGAGGGAAGATTTATTATTGATCGACCTGGCATTGAGCAGCAGCACCGTCAGACCCGAGGGATGGTTAACAAGGCTACCTGGCGCCCTCTGGTTGGGGGCAGGATCAGAAGGAGGGACAGGTGCCAGCCATCTGTCCATCCTTCTTCTACGTGGACACGTTAAGCCCCTATTGTTGTAACGACCATTGCCCGTGACCACGCCAATAGCAGCCCCCGTGGGTTCCCCAGGATATATAAACGTCGACATGGCCAGGAATGACTCAAAGCACTGATTAAAGCAGGGTAAGATTATAAAGTAGGTCAAAGGAGGAGAAAAAGAACGATAAAAAGAAAAAAGAAAAAGAAAAAAAGAAAAAGGGAATCCTTCCTCTTCCCTGAGAATCAGCAGTAGGCAAGCCTATTTCAACAAGAGTCCATGGCCAGCCCAGCCCCCCTCTCGTCCCCCCGAACGGCACCCCAAACAGCGGCGACCCCTTTGGTCGCCGCCCTTCGGCCGCCGGCCCCGGCCGTTGCCGCGGCTTTGACTCCGCAGGGCGCCTCCGAGACCCGCCCCGTCGCGCACCGCGCGCGCCCGATCACCTGGGCCGGCGGGCGGCGCTCTCCGGCGCCGCGTGAGGCCGCGCTGGCCGGTGGAGCTGGCTGCCGTCGAGGTCGCAGCCGCGTGCGTCTGCCTGCATTCGCTTGCCCGGGAGCGGCATGATGCTGGAGGTGGGCGGAAGCGTCTCTTGCAGTGCGGGGTCGGTGTTTCCTGCCTGGGGGGCCGTTCCCTCCTGGCCGTTGCCGCGGCTTTGACTCTGCAGGGCGCCTCCGAGACCCGCCCCGTCGCGCACCGCACGCGCCCGATCACCTGGGCCGGCGGGCGGCGCTCTCCGGCGCCGCGTGCGGCCGCGCTGGCCGGTGGAGCTGGCTGCTGTCGAGGTCGCAGCCGCGTGCGTCTGCCTGCATTCGCTTGCCCGGGAGCGGCGTGATGCTGGAGGTGGGCGGAAGCGTCTCTTGCAGCGCGGGGTCGGTGTTCCCTACCTAACTACAGAGTTGCCTTAAAAAGAACGTAGTGGCACAAGTTCTCACGGTATTCCAAGCAATTTATATTATGCATTTTAATTCCGACAGGCACGTCCAATCCAAACAATGGGTTTTGCAAGCAGTGCAAATGGATTGCCCAAAGAGCAATGAGGAGGGTTCGCTGGGCCCTCTGGAGGGGTGCAGCATGTAGGAAGTGAGAAATGGAAGAAGTCTTGTTGCAGGAGCAGAAGGCTGCGTACACAACAGTCAACATCACCTTCTGCCTGATTTTTCAGGATTCTAGGGACAAAACAGGAACAATTGAAATTTTGTTACTAGAGTTCACACATAACTCTCCCACACACATGCACACTAATGTATGTGTGTGCCAAAATAATGTGATGGAACATATTGCAAATATTTAACTATAAGCATGATTAAACTGCAAATGTTATTGCAAACCAATAAACTCTTCCAATAGAGAGGGCAAGTCAGCTGGGAGATGCCCTACCTGGAATCACAGTCACCCACAAGCCACATTTGTTTTGCAGGTAAGAACGGGTTCCACTGGCAACCTCTGCATTGATCCATACCAAAAGCACCATATAGCTGTCTTATGCTGGAACTCAAACA